TTGAGGGTGGGGGGTACCCTGCTGTTGTTGTTGATGATGATGTTGTTGTAAATTCAACTTATACACTGCCCTATACCAGGAGGTCTCAGGGCGGTTCACAACAAGATCACAGCATATAAAATCAAACCAAAAGCAGTAACTCAATAACCCCCCCCCCAAAAAAACCCACATTCTAAAAGGGTGTTGGATGTCAGTAAGATCATCCAAAGGGCTGGTTAAAAAGGAACATTTTTGCCTGGTGCCTAAAGGTGTATAATGAAGGCGCCAGTCGAACTTCCCTGGGGAGGGCATTCCATAGATTAGGAGCCACTGCAGAGAAGGCCCTGCTCTTGTGTTGCAGCCCTCTGGACCTCTCGAGGAGGAGGCACACAAAGGAGGGACTCAGAAGATGATCTCAGGGTCCGGGTAGGTTCACATGGAAAGAGGCGGTCCTTGAGGTATTGCGGTCCTGAGCCATTTAAGGCTTTATAGGGCAAAACCAGCACTTTGACTTGGGCCTGGAAAAGATGCACACACACAGAATACGTTCAAATGTGCTTCCTTCTTCAGGCTGAGAATAAGTTCAGGGACTGCACCTTGTCTCAAACCCTCAAGCTGCATTTTATTAAAATTCAAAGCAGCAAGCAACACAGTGAGCCCCCTGTGCCCCTCAAGCTGTCGGCACAGACATTTTCTTGTAAACAAACAGGCAACGCATCTCGCGTGTGCCAGTCACCCGCAGCCAAAGGCCAGCTGGTTCTGCAATTCCTAAAGATAGGTTGGTCTCGCTTTGCAGGGCAGGACGCTGCCATTGGCTCTCAGCCTCTGTTTTCCTTAAGAAATGTTTGACCCTCGCTTTCAATGCAAAGGGTCCTCAGGGCAGCTGGCAGCAGATTCAATGAAGACGGTAAGGATCCTTCTTTTAAAAAACAACAAAAAGAAAGCAGGAGAGCAAATATGCCAGTAAGAAATAACAAAACACCAGCTAAGATGTGGTGAGAGGAAGAGAAAAGGACATTAATGAACCTTGCAAGTTCGGATGAACAGAAAAGCCTTTCTCTCTCTCTCTCCTCATCAGTCAGAGCACAGAGAAGGGCCTCTGAGGATGACTCTGTCGTGGGCACTTCAGGTGCCACCCAGACCCCTTTGCTGTTGTTTAGTCGTTTAGTCGTGTCCGCCTCTTCGTGACCCCATGGGCCAGAGCACGCCAGGCACTCCTGTCTTCCACACCCAGACCCCTTAGGGTTTTGTAAGTCAAGACGAGCTCCCTGCCTTGGGTCCAGAAACAAACCAGAAACCAGTAAAAGGTTGTGTTTTTTTAATAGCATCATAGAGTTAGGAGGGAACTCAGGGGTCATCTAGCTCAACCCCCTGCAATCACAACTAGAGGATCCCCAACAGAGGACTGTCTGGAATCCTCCAGCAAAGAATAGTCTGCCCCCTTCCAGGGGAGTCCATTCCACTGTTGAACTGCTCTTACCACCAGAAAAAAAGATTCCTAATGTCTATTTTTTTGTAATTTGAATCCATTGGTCCTCCCTTCTGGAACAGCAGAAAACAAAGCTTGCTCCATCTTCTAGTTGACATCCCTTCAGGTGCTTGAAGATGATGATCAAGTCACCTCTAAGCCTCCTCTTGTCCAGGCTAAACATGCCTTACCTGGAGATGATGCTGGCCAATGGTCTCGGAACCTTCTGCATGCCAGACAGGTGTCCTGCCACTGAGCTGCTGTGACCCATTCCAAAAAGGGCAGTATAACCTTGTCCCTCCCCCCCCCACCTGCTCCCTGCCCATCACCTGAGCATTCAGCCTGGAGAGAAAGAGGCGCAGCCCAGATGGGCTGGCGGTGTGTTTTGCTGTTCCTCACATCGCTGGTTTGAGTTGGGCTCTGAGGTCCCCTTTGGCCAACTAGCAAAGAACCCTGTCGTCGGCAAGAGAGCAAGAGTCACTGCAAGCAGGAACATGGTGAGGAAGCGAGATAAAGCAAAATAATTAATAGTCCCTGTTTCATTCACAGCCGGAATGAGGGGGGCGGCGGATTTTACATCAGTGAGGCTGATCTTTGCCCACAGCTTGCCTTCATCTGTAGCTGCCTGTCTGCTGTGATGACGGGCAGTGGCAAGACGCTGGAGCAGAGATTCTGCAAACCAGATGAGAGTTGCCCGGCTGAATCAAGAAGGGACGGCGGCCTCCCTCACCATAATCTTAATTAAATGGCAAAAAAGGCAGGAGATGTCAGGGGATATTTTAGTTGGGGAGGGAGGGGATAAAACAAGCAAAGCTATGGCAAGAGAGATATTGCTAATAAGGGTCTCCAGAGAACTGTCAGCGGAGGAAACAGCTGCCTCATGCGGTTACGAACAGAGGGCTGAAAGAAATTATTAAAACTTCACTGTGTTGCACATAGATACTTTGCTGGAGTCTTCAGTTGCCCATTTGTGGGCATGATGCGTGCCTTTGGTAGAGGGACCATCTCATTCTCCACTGCCACAAACCAGTCTGGGACTGGGAGCTTCAGACTGGAAGGTGTGCAGATGAGGGCAACCAAAATGACCAAGGGTCTGGAAACCAAGCCATATGAGGAATGGTTGAGGCAGTTGGGTATGTTTAGCCTTGAGAAGAGAAGGCTGATAGATGATATAAGAGTCATAGGGCTGATGGAGCAAGCTTGTTTCCAACTGCTCTGGAGAATAGGATGAATTCAAACCAAGGGATTCAAGTTTCAAGAAAGGAGACTGCAACTAAATCATGAAATAGACTCCCTTCGAAGTGGGTGGACTCCCCTTCATTGGAGGGTTTAAAAAAACCTGAAAAGTTGGGTGTCCATCTGTCGTGGTTCTTTGGATGTGGGCGGGGTCCCTTTCAACTCTGCAGTTCTATGAGACTTGTGTTTGCTGATGACAAACCCAGGGCAACTGGATATAAAATCCCCAGGAACAAAACACGGCAAAGGCCGAGATACTGATCCATGAGGCCTTCCATGTTGGCTCTTCCCTTCCTGCCTTACTCCACAGCCAAAAGCCATAATGCTTCTGCATACCACTTGCAGGCAGTTTCAGCTGGAGAGAGTGCTGCTCTCACACTCTGGGCTTCCCAAAGGGTCGTCTGGTTGGCCACTGTGGGAACAGGATCCTGGCCTAGATGGGCCACCGGCCTAATCCAGCAGGTCTCTTATTCTAGCATACAAAACAGATGACAATATTTATATACACATCCATTGTTGAACCATTGTCTTCTAGAAGAAATCCTGCTGCGTATCGATTTTGTTCTTTGTAAGTGACTAATATTATAATTACCCATGCTACAGATCACTCATATTCTTCCAACATCTGCTACATCTCCTCTCAGCTGCAGCAAAGCATTAGATCGTTGTAATTCTGCTACATATATGTGGCATTAAAGGAACCTCTAAGCTTTCAAACTCCAGCCCCACCTCGTCCTCTAGCCAAAAGCGAAGCTGCCATGCACCTTGTCCAGAATTAGGGACAGAAACATTTTCATTCTGCGCTCAAAGAGGACAGGATCACACCCCAGAATGGAAGTGGAGGGTGATGTCAGTCTAGGGCTGCAGGGACCCGAGTCCATGTTCTCTCTCCATTATTGTGATGGCCTGGGACTCGGGCTCAGACTCGGAACCAGAGGAGTCTCAGTCTGCACCAGATCCTCTGCCTCAGGCGGCATCTGGGGCCTGATCCTGAAGAGTCCCAGTCTGCACAGGTTCCCCTGCAACAAACACCAGCTGGGCCGAGTCAGGGGCCTGATCCTGCCCTGGCTCCAGATGCGGGGATGACCTCATTGCCTTCAGCTGGGCCATCACTCACAACTGCTCCACTACTGGTTGGGTCAGGGGAGGCTGAGGCGGCCTCTGGGTCCAGTAACCCACCAACGTCTCCGGAGCTGCAGAGACTGAGGTCTGAGAGAAGGAGAGACCTGAGTACTCGCAGGAGGAGTGCTTGCCTTCGGGCGAGACAGGGAGGTGAGTCACTGGGAGATCAGGACCGGCCGTGACCCTGACAAAGATAAAAGGCTGCCGGACCCTGGCCCAGGTTGCAGTAGCAACACTGAAGTATGCTAGACCCTGCCTGAGATCCTGTACCTGTCCTTGCCTGGTTTCCTGCCTCGTGTCCTGCCTTGGCCCTGTCAGGCTGACTCCTAGCAGAACCTTTGGATTCTGGACCGGACCTGGACTGCGTTGCTCAGGTTACCCCCGGGCCCAGCACAATTGTGAGGCTCATGAGGGGACCTTGAGCCAGGCACTCCTTCTGACCTCAGTCTGCCTCACAGGGCGGCTGTGAGGGGAGGTGGACTCATTAGACCCTTGGAGAAAGGCCGGGTTATTAAAAATGAAATCTGAACAAGGTCAGAGGGGAGCCAGAAGGAAGGGGCTTGATCCTAGCCAGGTTTCGGGCGCGGAATATTTTATTGATGCCAGAGCTAGCTATTAAAATACCACACAGCTGACCATGTGCAACGTGTGAGTCCCTCACCACCAAATGCACACACAACTAGAACTGGCAAGCTGTTGAGACTGTGTTAAGCCCTAGTCCCTGGGGTGGGGGGTCTACAGGGGCTCCCCAGGTGTTACTGAACTACAACACCCATTGTCCCCTGACCATACTGGCTGCTGGGGGAGAGTGGAAGCTGGAGTCCAGCCACATCAGGAGGCCCCCCACCCACCCACACACAGATGTTCCCCATCGCTGCCACTGCATTTCCCTAAAAAAAACCCAAAAACTTTTTGACCGGGAGGGGGGGGGTATGGGAAAGGATGGCCTTCTGCAAATCAAATCAAACGCAAAGTGGCCTGGAGAGACTTCCTCGGGGCTACTTGCATGGTCTTTGAGTGTCCCTTTCCGAAATCGCATGGACACCTCCCTCTCCCAAGGCCAGGGCTGCAGAAATGGTCCAGTCAGGAGGATGGATCTGTGCCTTCCGGGGGGGGGCTCCTCTTGCCACGTGGCGCCGCGTGCTGCAGTCTGCCGCCCCCCTCCCGCCACCCAGGCCACAGTTCTGCCAGAGCCTGACTGTCAACACGCGGGTGGGAGTTAGGATGTAGCTCCATCCCCCCTCCCCAGCCCCCTCCAGACTGGGGCAACAGCCTAGACAGATCTGGGGCTGGAGGAGGGGGCGTGGGGCGTGGTGGGGCGGAGTAGGGCGGGGGAGTGTTTGTCCTGCGGGAAGCGGAGCCCGCCCGAAGCTGCCTTTCCCTCTCCGGCGGCGGGCAGGGAACTGGCGCAGAATCCGCAGTTCTCAGCGAATGAGGGAGCTCAGGGAGGGGCTGGGCTGAGACTGGGGGGGCGGGTGTCATTAGTGCTTCCCAGCAAAAGCAGCTTCCTTTCCAGGCGGGGAGGAGAGAGAGGCAGGCTGGGGACTGACTGGTGCAGGGAGCCCGGAGCAGGCGGAGTTGGTGGTCTGGCTCCCTTCCCTTCCTTGCGCATCCCTCTCGCTCGCCCGCCGCTGCATCCCTCCTGCATCCCTGGAGAGAGAGCGGTCCTTGGGTACCAGCGTCCTCGGAGCCTGCCCGCCGCGGCTCCTTTCCTGGGCTGTCCTCTCCTGCTGCTGCTCCCATCCAGGGAGAGCGCTCCGGGCTCTTCCTCCGGGGTACCGCCCTGCCCTCTCTCTCTCTCCGCCCTGCATCTCCTGGAGAGAGCGCGCAGCATCCCTCCTCTTGGGTACCAGCCTCGGCATCCCAGCCCGCATCTCCGAGGAGTGCAGCGGCGGCGCCTCTCTCAATGCAAGGGCGACCACGGTGATGGGCTTGGAGTGGGCAGCTTGTTAGGTGTGGAACCGAGGCAGACCACCTCAGGTGAGCGGATCGCAACAGGGCAGGGGGGGGGTCGTTTTGCGGAGCCCTGCCCTCTGCAGACAGGGTGGGAAAGCGCTGTTCCAGGGGTCTCTGGAAGGCAGGTGAGGGGGCAGAGCTATCTAAGGAGAGTCTTGGTCCAGAGGGGACCCCCGGAATTAAGGATGCTTCGGCTGAGGTGGGAGGTGCGATGGATGCTGTCCTGGCTCCAGGGACTGACCTGGATTGAGACCTTTTTAGAAAAAAAACTGCATTTGTCCATCATCATGCCCCCGGCTGTCACTTCCAAAGTAATAAATCGTAACTGGAAAGCGGGTTCTTTTGCATGCTGGGTGTCGCACAGGCTGCATAAGCAGAGAACCCTCCTAGGAAGGGGCAGTGCAGTCTGGGTGGGTCGCAGAGAGACGTGGCTGAGTTTTGGGTGGGCTGCATCATTGAGATGCATCTCTGGCCTGAGGCTGGCATCGTGCTGCGAGAGGGAAGTGGCACGAACATGCCCCCTGCAATGTGTCGTGCGAAAGGGGTGGAGGGTCCCTTGTTGTGACGCAAGAGCGGCTGGTCAAGGTGAGCGAGGGGCCGGCTGCCGGCTTCACAAGCAGGCTCTGTTGGTTGGGCGGGCACTGCAGTGCTCCTGGCCATGGGCAGAGTTGAGAAGCTGGGGCTGCCTGCCTTTTGCCATCAGGAATGAAGCCCTTCTCAAAGCCCTCCCTGCAAGGCATGGTCCCTCGCCTAGAAAAGACCCAAATCCACTTTCCACTGCCGCTAACCACTACTCCCCACCCCCTCAAAGCCTCCCAGGTCATAGGGCTGCTTGGTTTGAAAGAAAAGAGGGCACCGGAGTTGTGCTCGTGTGGGCAACCTTCCATGCCAGATCATTCATCTATCTAGCTCATTTTGCCTGCACTGACTGGCAGCAGCTGTCCATGGTTTCAGACAAGGAGTACCCCCCCCCCAATACCTAGAGATGCTATTGGGGATTGATCCCGGGCCCTTCTGCATGCAAGGCAGGTGCTCTAACCACTGAGCTATGGCCCTTCCCCAAAAGGCATGTGCCCACACAGGAGAGGACACCGAGCAGAGCAAAAGCTCCAGCCTGCGTTGGCGCCTGCCTCTCTCTCACTACCCATTGCATTTTGTCTGGTACACAGGAAAGACATCAAAAGAAAACAAATTCTGGGTATAAAAGCTACAGAGCCAGGGAACGAGAAGTTCAGGGGGTGGAGGTAGGAGTGGGCGCAACACCTTAATTCTGTGTGAATGGGTGCAGTGCCTTAACTCTGCTCCTTGACACCCGGAACACACTGAGCCCGATCCGTGGGCAGCATCCCAGCCAAGCAGCCTTCTGCCCTGAGTCTGCAGCACTTCAGGTTTATCTTTTCCTTCCCATACTTCACGTTGGTGGCCAAAAAAAATCAATGAAAACCCCATCATTCTATTCTGAAGGGGCAGTTGCTTGTTTTGAGAACAGGAGCACAGAATACCACACCACCCAACACACACATGCTTCTGCAGTGATCTCTCTGAACTGCAGACTCACCAAAAGGCATGTCTCTCATTGTCTGGTGAATGAAGAATTCAGGGAGATGGAAATAATATAATTCTGCATCCAGTAGGTACAGGGGATCCAAAGATATTTGTGCCTGAAGAAAAGCCCCCTAGGAATTAATGCTGTATTGGTGGCCGGGTGGGGTGGGGGCCAGTAGAGGAGCCAAGGCAGGGTCCTGGTTACCAGTGAGGGCATCAATGTCACCAGGAGGTCAGGGAAAGATAACTGGGTGCCACACACGTTTGGGTAAAGAGGATGCAAGGAGCTTAGCCAGATGGAGCCAACCAGGCCTGTGGTTGATTGGCATCCTATGCCCTTTTGAAATGTATTGGAGGCGGGCTATTGGGTTGTTTTTGTTCTGTATTTTATCCTGTGAACTGCCCTGAGACCTGCGGGCGGTATATACATTTAATAAAGAATAATAATTTTAATAAACCAAAGAGTGGCGACAGAAGCAGAATGTTGGAGGAAAAGGCACCATATTGGTCCATAGACGGTTTGTGTGGGATTCCTTTGTGAGAATAGATGATATCACCCAACAGGACAGCTGTGCAGACAGCAGAACGTGACGTGCACCAGAGACACTTGTGAAGTGTGTTGTGCTACAGAGGAGAGCCAGGTGCCCAAGGATAACGTGAGAGATCGGCGTCTGTGCAGCAGCACTTGCAAGGAAAGTGGGAAGGGGCTGGTGCAGAACGAACGGAACAGGAGCCAGCAATGTGATCCTGCAGCTCAAAAGGCCAAGGGTGTTTTAAGTTGCAGCCTCAGAAATAGATGCTCCCAAGGTACAGGATGTAGCCACCTTGCTCTCTCCAGCACAGGTAAAATCCCATTTAGAAAACTGTGTTCCGTTCTAGGCAGCCAGCCAGAGAAAACAGACAGGGCTGCCTATTTTTAAAAAGAGGTGTTTAAAAGAGCTAACAGTTTTCCATCGATCCCAAAGTTTATTCATCTCAGGACATTTGCTGCACTAAAGAATGCTGGCTCCAGAGGGCTTTTTTCTGGCTTGATTGGAGAGCTAAACCTCAGGTAAACCTTATCAGAGCTAGGCCAGTTTGGGGCATCAGGACTCTCATCAGGATTGTGGTGGGTAAAAGAAAAACAGAGAAGAATAGAGAAGGGGCATGGTCTTAAGAGACAGCACCAGAGCATGTGCAGAGCACCTAGTGCTTCCCAAATCTCAGGATATGGCTCCTAGGTGACAGGACTGAGGCACTTGAGTTGATTACATTTGCAGCGATCAATTTTGTTATCTTCCAGTGGGCATTGGAAAGAGGACAGGAGGAGAAGCTTGCTATCAATTTCAAGGGAAGGTTTGAAATGTGATCAGATTCTGCTGCGAGTCTTTTAGGTTGGAAGGTTCAGGTCGGGTAAAAGGAAGCTCTTCTTCCTGCAAGATGTAGTTAGATTATGGAACTCCCTCCCACAGGAGGTGGCGAGGCCCACCTCTTAATCTCTGATGCCGTGGTTTCTCAGCTGAGAGAGGAAAGGACTCTGCTCATGCTCAGAGGCCCCTTCTGCTTAACCCTTGATGACAAACTTGTCAGCGTATGGTGTGTGCAGCTCCCCAAGCGCGTAGGTTTGTGGCAGTGCCGTTTTGTGCTGGAAGAAATTCAGTCAGACTCCAACTCCTCAGACCGTTCAGTCCTTTACTGGCAGGTCCAAATCATTAAGGCAGTTTCCCTATATACAGGATTCCCCATGATCCCTAGCGGAAGCTTCAGGCTACAAATGCAAAGCAAGTACGACTCAAAGCATACATACAGCACAGAGCTCAGCACCAGTCTGGCAGAGCTTTCTCTCAGCGAAGCAAAGAGGCCGTGTTCAGCCCCTCTTAATAGACCCAAGAATGACCACACCCTTGGCCAGTGGCCAGATCACAGTGACCTACTTGGCTGGTGGCCAGGTCAGTGACCTTCAAACCCTAATTGCAAGACCTGTAGGTGCAAGATAAAGGAAGCCCATTCACCAGATTTCCCTTAACAGCAATTAAACAAACCTCAACAAAACAAATTTCACACATTCTCGGGTTCAAGCCCTGAGTCAAATCAAGATGTTGGGTGATGGTGGGGCAGAGAGGGTGTCCTAAACCGCCTCTCATTCCTGAATCCAGATGCGAGTTTTTGTTTTTTGCCTCTATGGGTTGGCCATAGAATCACGGAACGATAGAGTTGGAAGGGACCCCAGTGACATAGCTGTCAATGTTTCCCTTTTTTTAAGGGAAATTCCCTTATTCCGAATAGGATTCCTCGCAAGAAAAGGAAAAAGTTGACAGCAATGCCCAGTGATCACCCAGCCCAACCCCCTCCAATTCAGGGATCAGAACAGGTCACACACATTCCCAAGTGACCCAGTGGCTCATTCATACATGAGATCCCTCAACACAAGTTAAAATGCTATTGCAGTCTGAATCCCAGGCAGGGACCTGTGGCAGTGGAGGCATATCATTTAAATAATAATATAAAATGATTTATTATTTATGCCCTGCCCATCTGGCAGCTTCATTAGGACGGCTCTACTCACTTTGGTCAGCCTTATGGAATTATGTTCCTATGCGCACCATTGGCTCTGGTGCCCCCTATAATTGGTCTCTCTCCCTTCTGACCTCCCAGTCCCCTTGGCCTGCTAATCAGGCAGTTTTCCAACCAAGTGACCAAGTTGTCGAGTGCTGCACAAACCTTGGTTTGAGGGAAACCTGGATCACATCTGGCAGGCAGGAGCCTGCTGAGACGAGACACCTCTAAGAACCAGGGATGACCCCATTGGCTTTATTCCCAAGTCATCCAGCAGTGCCAGGAAACACGCCTCCTTCTCAATAAGGCTGCCAAGTGAAGCTCTACGCTTTGGACAGCTCCACGGCGGGCAGAAATCCAACAGGTACGGCACGTGTCAGTACACCTGTGTGGCCGGGAAGCTGCCACGGGGCCAAGGGCAAGGTGCCAGCTCCATCCCTTGGGAAGGCAGAGACCTAGAATTGTTGTGGGTGAGATATTGCCGCTGGGTTTCTCGGATGTGTCAGGAGCCAAACTGCAGACGGCTCTGTCCCTTTGTGTGCCAGCTGGCTTCTTGCAGCAAAACGTCAGTTTGCAAAGACAATGGAAGCTCTGGAATAAAAGCAGGCCATGAATCAAGCTCCCTCGGCTGCCTCTGAAATTAACGGTCCATTCATCTCCAGCTTCCTGGTCGACAATTCATGGGAGGATCCCATTCATCCTCTCTCGGTTTTTGCCCTCACATTATTCAAATCTGTGATGCAATTGAATGTGGCTCCCAAATGGCCAACCCCAAAGTGCTGCCTTCATTATGGGGTATTATTTACACAGCACCATTAGAGTGCCGGGCACTTCACAGAGCCCAAGAGGACCAGTCCCTGCCCCCAAGGAGCTTACAATCCAGCACCCAACTCATGGTGAGGCAGTAGAGGAAGAGAAGAGACTAGCAAAGAAAACCTGGGTTC